GGAATGAGCCTCTGGCTATCTGCAGAGAGATCTGAGAGCTGGGGCCATGTTTCCACAAGGCTCTTAACCTCATGACTAACTTTTGAACAAATTGGGTCATAGGCAATGCCTCAGTGCCCTGCCTTCTGCATTCACTGTCCGGAGCTCTGGAGAGTGCAGCACCACCTGAGCTACTGCACTGATTAAACGTGGGGCTTTGGAGCATGGCTTGGGAAGCACGGAGATGGGCCTGCTGGCCTGGCTCTTTCCCAGCTCTTTGGTACATCTCTGCGAGCCAGATGCTATCAGGTTCTTTTCATCTGATTCCTCTGCTTCATTGGAGTTTATTAATCCTTTCCAAGAAGCATTTCCTTAGCTTTCAAATGATTAACTTGAATGTAGGCCCTACTAACATTTTTCTTCTGTTACGTTTTTGAATACACTTTTATGCCGGTTGAGCTGAAGAACTCAATATTCTGGATTTTGTTTCTAGGGCAACAATAGTTTCATTGGAAGACTTTGAACAAAGGCTGAACCAAGCTATTGAAAGAAATGCCTTTCTAGAAAGTGAACTGGATGACAAGGAGTCATTGCTGGTTTCTGTACAGAGACTAAAGGATGAAGCAAGAGGTATGGCTCGATTAGTTCTGTGTCCTGGTACGTTGTTGGCTTCCTAAGAGACATGTAGCAATCAAGCTCATCTTTATAGAAAGCCTCACATAAGGAGACTTGAACTGGATACTAAATGTATTAGGTATTACTAACAGTATGTTCTCTATGTATGTCCAGTGTAGCTAAGAGGAAAATTTTCCTTATATAGGGAAAATTAATATTAGATTCAGTCAGGATTTTTAACACAGGTGAGTAGAAAAATACTTCATTCTACAGATGTAATAGAATTGAGGAAGTGCGACTCAAAAGTTCCTGCTTGCTGTGGTTTTATGGCTTGTGTAGGAAGGGAAAGCACAGGAAATGTCAGGCAAATACATGAGAAGTGCTTAAGTAAATTAACTTTTTAATCCTGTCTCCTGTATTCCTTCTAATCCTCTTGGAAATTGCCTGGTTTATTTAAGATATTCCAGTGAAGACTGTGTTTAGACCTGTTTGAGGTAGTGTTCAGGGATACAATCAGGAGGTGGGAATTCCCCAGTGGATTTCACATTGAGGATGCTGGGGAAGCATTTTGTAATGGTTGATGGAAACTGACTTCTCTACTAGTGGTGGTGATGTGCTCAGCAGCCCATGCCTGCCATTATGTGCAGAGACTAGTGGCTTCCAACTTGCTTTCCCAAGGGAAGCTTTCTAAGATAATTCCTCAGTTAAGGCCTAGACCTGAGTGTAAGACAACAACAAACACTTCAACAGTTATTCTCCTTTGTGGAGCTCTCTGAACCAAGTTTGTGCCCTACAAATGGAAAGTCCCTGCTGGAAGCACAGGGGTTTTGTAATACGTATGAAAAGGGAGATTAAGTATTTTCTGAGGGAATATATGTGTTGCAATTTGGGGTTAGAGCAATAATGCTGGAAAACCCAGCAAAACCTAGGGGACCGTTTTGTACAACACTGGAATAATTAGACAAAAAGGACATGTTTTTTCTTGGATGAGTCATCTGGAAATGTTTAGCATTAATTAGGGTAGCAAAGCTGTGTGTTCCCCCTGGCAGCAAGCAGGAACCACTAGAAGAACTGCTACAGTGTCAAACTCAAATACAACATTTCTGATTCAACAACCCCAAAACCTCTTAGAGGAGCCCAGATTGATTTTCGTTTCAGCTGTGCTGTTTTACTTAAAATCATTTCTAAATATTTATGATAACTTAAAAGCTGTAATGTACAACTGATTTTGCTCTTGCACGTTGTACCAGGCTGAGGCAAGGAATAAGAGGTTTGTGAAAGGTGAGACACTGGCACAGAGTGCCCAGAGAAGCTGTGGCTGCCCCATCCCTGGCGGCGTTCAAGACCACGTTGGACGTAGGGGCTTGGAGCAACCTGCTCTAGTGGAAGGTGACCCTGCCCGTGGCAGGGGTTGGAGCTGGATGAACTTTAAGGTCCCTTTAACACAAACCAGGCTGGGATTCTATGAATAATTAAGTTGCTCTGTCTGAAAAGGATCAACCCATTTGTAATATATTGTTTATTTGCATCTAGTTCCTTCTAAGGATTTTGTAGATTTTTTGCTGAGCTGTGCTGGATGTTCTTTGTAGCAAATACATGTGGCAATGGGAGGGACATGGCAGGGCTAAGCAGCAGGCTGGAGAGGAGGTGAGAATGAAACGCAGGTTTCCTTTTTTTTCTTTCCCTGTCATTTGGAATACCCAGCTTTTCCCACCTGCTCTTTTCTTCTTGAGGCATCAAGAAACTGCATACAACCTTCCACTGTCTTTGGCTAGCGGGAAGTCCTTTGGATTACTGACTGGAAGGGTGTGGGCAATTGGACACACAAGACTAGGTCATTCCTCCCTTTTTCCAACCTCTGTCTGAGCAGGAGCTGAGCGTGTTTCAGCAGACACTTGTGACACACTTCCCATGGGACTTGCATTACAGATGGGGAAGAATGCTATGGGGAAGTGGGCGGCTGGGCCCGGGTAGGGCTCTGTTTGCTGCCCTTCTCCTCCCAGCTAGAATGGGAAGTGATGGCGATGGGCACTGACTGCTCTGAGGTGGGGTCCTCCAGCCAGAGGCAGTTAATAGAGGGTTGTTGCACAGCGTCTCCTCTTCCCTCGCAGATGAGTAGATTGTTAGAGAAACCAGTTGCTAATGGGTGTTTGGGGTGTGTTTTCTTCTCTCAACCCTCAGACCTGAGGCAGGAGCTGGCAGTACGGGAAAGGCAGCAAGAAGTCACGCGGAAGTCAGCACCCAGTTCTCCGACCCTGGACTGTGAGAAGATGGATTCGGCTGTGCAGGCATCCCTCTCCCTGCCAGCCACGCCTGTTGGAAAAGGATCAGAAAATAGTTTTCCTTCCCCAAAAGGTATCATCAGTCATAGAAACTGTGTCTGGTTGCTCAGCAGCATGCTCAGGTTGGTAACAGTTTCAGTCCAGGTGTTTGTCACTGGGCTTGAAGTAAGCGCAGGTATGTGTAGATCTCACACACATTGCATAAGGTGTTTTTAAATCCTGGGGCAGCATAAGTGTGTTTAAGGAGTATAATGAGTAAATACCATGGAAAAGAAAGACACTGAAGCTTATCTACTGCTTGGGGGGGATGGGGGTTTGCACTGAAGACATTTGGGAGTGCAGGAAAGTGTAGTAACTGATACTGCTGCTCAGCTCTGGAGTAGCAGTGGTGGGTAAACAATGGTCAATAATTCTGATGCTCTAGATTCTGTTATCACACATACTTCTCAGGGGTCCTGTTTTCTCTGTGAGGCAGCAGGATGTTAGTGCAGTCCCTTTCCCCATCTGGAAGACTCTGGAAAATCACAGGGATTATCACGTATTTTTCAAATTAGAAGGAGTAGATTCCAGAGGAGGCTCTGGCTGGATTAGATGAACTGCAGGCAATAAGTAGCCTTGCAGATGGACAGTGCATGATCTCCACATGTAGGTCTATGCAAAGAGGGCAGTGGACAGAAATTGGGCTTTCTCATTTTCCCTGGCCAGTGATCATGTACTCTGTGTGTTATTGTGGGCTGACTGTATGAAGACTCTGCAGTAGGAGTTTAGATTCATCTTTTCATGCAGAAGTTGATTTATTTAAATTTAAAACAATAAATGAACTGTGGAGGAGTGGAACATGTAATAAAGCATGTCTGTGTTTGCAGCTATACCAAATGGATTTGGTACCAGCCCCCTTACTCCTTCAGCTCGAATATCTGCGCTCAACATTGTGGGGGATCTGCTACGGAAAGTGGGGGTGAGTGCTCTGCCCTGAAGTGTTCCTCACTCTGCAGTGCTGGCACTGAGCTTTCCCCCTCGTGTGCAGTGACAAGAAGGCCTGGGCCCATGCTGAGTACAAGTGGTATTTAGAATGTGATAATGTATATTTTTATTATTATTATTATTTTAATTTGTAAAGCATGTTGCTAAGGTTCTGATGCCAATTTTGGATGATGAAATTCACATTTGGAGTAAGCAGTTTCTCAAGCACTTTGGTATATGGGGTTAGACACCATCAGCTGCTTGTTCTGACTTTAAACAGGGTCTGCAGCTTCCTCTGTAGGGAGACCAAGATGCAGAGCTGGGCCTCAGAGCCTGGCTGCCTGCTGCACACAAGCGAGGAGCTGAGATCACGCAGCCAGTGTCCCCTCATGTGCCTGGGGGCATCTGCAGCAGGTGCTGAAAGTGGGGAAAAGAGAGAGACCTTTGATAAGAAAGTGAGAAAAGAAATTAGGTGAAAGCCAAATGTTCCCATCTGTAGTTGAGGAGGCTGTGAAACGTGTGAGCCTTTAAAGGGATTACCCCTGTAAGCGGGGAAGAAGTGGTTTAAAACTCTGTCAGTGTGTTGTTTAGGATGCCAGGTTTCCAGCTGAGTTTGGAGTTAGGAGAAGCTCCTTGATGTGCCTCAGTGGGTAGCTGTGAGTGGAAGCATGGGTAGCCTCAGTGCTGGCTGTCCTCTGCCTCCTGTGGGTGCCACTGATGAGGCAGCAGCTGCAGCAGAGACAGTTGTTTTAGCAAAGCTTGAAATGAAAAGTGACTTCATTCCTCGCATTTGGAGCCAGTTTGCCCGGGGTTGGTTTGGAAGGGCAGCAGGACCATTCAGGGTTACAGAGTGACATGGGTAAAATGGGATCATTGTAAGATGCTGCAGGGGATTTAGGGAGCTTAATCACAATCCCATGTGATTACTCTGCAAGGACAGGAAATGCCAAATAAGCATCCTGCTTTCCCAGCCTGCCCTTAGACACCCGCACAGAATTCCAGCTCACACATTTGTTTAGCAACAATTATAGGCTGCTCAGGGTTTCTTTGGGTTTGACTACTCATAGAATGCCTCATCCCAAACCTTAGACTTGCTTTCTCTGCCAGAAGTTTCCCTTGGGCTTTCTTGACTGCAGCTGACACAGGGAGTCACTTGGCACAGATCACACTGGCTCCTTCCAGCTTATAGGTGCTTTGTGACCAAGAGGTAGGTACCTATATGAGGTAGGTACCTACATACCTGCCTGTTTGCTTATTGAGCTTACATGGGTCTCTAGAAGAAGACCCTCTAGTGTTCACTTACTTGTGGCAGCATGTCAGTGCCTTATTGATGGAATATTTTTCTACATGAAACCAGACAAATCCCCATGTTTGGGGAGATGAGTTTTTGTCGCCAGCGTGTGCATTTGCAAGTGTCTGAATGTACCCATGCACAGGGTGGATGTAACAGATGGTTGGAAGGACATTCTGCTAGGCCAGAAGGATAGTCACATTACACCTCAGTTTGTTATAGGTGGCAGAAAGGGCAGGTGATGTACTGAAGGAGAGAATCAGGGTTTCGGTCTCCCTCCTGTCAGGAGTTAGTGGATGAGGCAGGGACTGTCACCTTGTATAGGGGAAAAAGATCTCATCAGGCTTGCTTGGAAGTAGTAGAGATGAGGTACAGACCATGGAGATGGGTTCAGCTTATGCAGCTGATTGCTCCTTCTGATGTTGCTGTAGCACCTTTTGTTCTGAAGCATATCAGTGGGGCTTAAGAAACTGGCTTTGTTTTGTAGGTAGAGATTAAGAAAGAAATGCTAAAAGGCATTGTCCTGGGGCGAAAACTCAACTTCCCAAATACATAGTCCTTCCCCTAACTTCAGGGTTCTGGTTAGCTCATGTCAGCCTTGCTGCAGCTGCCAGGGCAAGGAGGGTTGGTAACTTCTGCTGGGAGCTGGCTTCCTTCTTTTAGGTAATTGAGGGTTCTGAAGTCTGAGCCGTGATGGAACTGAGTCATGCCTGGCAGTCTGCGTGTGCAGCAGGTTTCCTCTGGGGTTGGGTGGCAGAGAACATGACAGCCTTGTTCTTATTTAGTTCAGTTTTTCCCAAAGGTGAAAATCGGGGTCCTGCTCCTGGTGACCTTGGGGTTGTGACAGAACCTGAACTTGAGCAGCAAAATGCTTCCTCTTATTAAATTATTATTAAATTAGTATTGCTTTTTTGACATAGTTTTGTTTTCCCTCTTTCACAGGCCTTGGAATCCAAATTAGCTGCTTGCAGGAACTTTGCAAAGGACCAGGCATCCCGGAAATCCTACGTGTCTGGGAACGTTAACAGCGGCGTGATGAACAGCAACGGCAAAAAGTACCCTCACCTGGAGCATGCTTCCTTCTTTGACAAAGGGTAAGGAAGGATTTAGTTTTACCTGAAAGGGGAGTGCATTTCAGGGTGCTACTTGGAGCAGAAGTTTTTTGTGGCTTGTCTTTAGCCTGGCACAGCTTTCATCCCATAGGACAGATAATTTGTGGAGCCAAAGTCTCAGGGGACAGGGACAGTGACAGATTTCGGTGAAACAAAGAGTAAAGCAAGCGTGGCTGTCTCTTAGCTGGTAGGATGGCAGGGCCTGTTCTGTCACTCTGCTGCCTGGTCTCTTAGTGGTTGCATCTCAAGTAATAAATGTGCCCTTGGACAGGTTCTCCAGTAAGTAGTGGTGGGGTTGCCATAGGTACTGGTGCACTGGTGCATGGGGAAGCACATTAACCACAGAGCTGGAGATTCCCTCAGTGGGAACAGCTAAGTGCAGGCAGCAAATCCTCACAGGAGGGTGGTGCCCTGCTTGCTCTATTTCCCCTTCTATTAGGGGAAAAGAAAACGTCATCAATGGCGTAACTCTGGCTGATGGAGGGGGAAGCTGCCTCGTGCTGACAGTGCCACAAACTGCCTTCACAGGAAGAACTGCCCCATGTGCCTCCCGTGACTCACTCATGGTCAGAGCTTCCTCTGGGATACTGGATTTTCCCATATGGCCCTGAGGTTGTGTGAGGAGCCCTGAGGAGCAGAGCACAGCACTCCTCCAGCGTTGGCATGGTGGCACTGTGAGATGTGCTGGTGTCACTGGGCAAAACACCCTTCGTGCTACCTGCATACTCATCTTCCATGCTAAACCTCAGGCCAGGGCAATTTACTGCTAATACTCAGCATATCCTCAATCCAGAACAGCTTTTAGAGAATTAAATGAGCTGTTACCAACCTGGGGAGTGCCATATACAGAGCAGACAAGCTGAGCTTCCTACAGTCATCCTGGTTTGAGCGTTGCTATGTGGGTAGCAGGGCAAGTTGCATCTAAGAAACTGGCATTCAGAGCTTTTAGAGTCACTGTTGCTTTGGTAAAGGAAGAGTTTGGAGATTTAACACTGTCCTGTGCATATCACACCTTAAGTTGTCTGTGTACTGCAGGGCTGACTGGGGCTGTGCATCACCACAGCAGTGCTCATGCTTGCAGTGCACAGGCTGTGTTTCAGGTGCAAGCTGTCAGGGGAGTTGCTAGGGAGAGATTATAGCTGTTCTTAAGAGGCAGCATGGCTATATTGAGTTGTGGTGTGACGAATAAGCTGATTGCTGTGTGGGGTGGGGGTTACTTTTAATTATCCAGATTGTCATCACACTTGTTATCTGGGCTGGCTGCCTGGAGTTAGGAGCAGGTTGTGGCTGGAGAAGGCTTAGAAACCCAGCCTCTTGCAAGATAGCTTCTACAGCAGAGTTGGAGGATGTCAGTGGGCTTAAAAAAGGGGTGGAAATGACTGACGTGCTTATCTGCAAGGTGTTAAAGATCCCTGCATGGCCCTGCTGTCCTATCCTTCTCCTCTGCACCCCCACATGCTGCAGCAGCGCCGAGCCCCCAGCCTGCTGGCACGTGGTGCTGGCAGCCATCGCAGGCGGGGGGTGTTGTGGTGTCTGGGCACAGGGGGCTGAGTCGGGGCATGCCCATGCTCTTTCTGCTCCCCTCACCTCTCTCCAGCCTCTGTACTCTTCTCCTCGCCCCTAATTGTTGCTGGAGCCTGGAACAGCCACATGTGATGATAGATCTAATGCAGTCTGCAGCCACTGCCTGAAGAACAGCCGCTTGCTGGGAGGTGGTACTGGGACAGTGGTAACAGCCACATCACTACACTTCCATTTACAGAATCCCAGTTAGTGTCAGAAGGGCCCTCTGGAGATCGTCCAAGCCAACCCCTGCCAAGGCAGCGCTGCCAAGGCAAGTCCACCCAGAGCAGGGCACATAGGAACGTGTCCAGGCAGGTTTGGGATGTCTCCAGAGAAGGAGACTCCACAACCCCCCTGGGCAGCCTGTGCCAGGGCTCTGACACCCTCAGTGGAAAGTTCTTCCTCATGTTGAGGTGAAAGTTGTTGTGTTTTAGTTTATGGCCATTGCTCCTTGTCCTGTTGCTGGGCACCACTGAGAAGAGTCTGGCCCCATCCTCCTGGATCCTGCCTTTGCAATACTGATCTGCATTGATGGGATCCCCTCTCAGTCTGCTCTTCTCTGGACTAACCAGGCCCAGCTCCCACAGTCTCTCCTCATAAGAGAGATGCTCCAGAGCCCTGAACATCCCTGCGGCCTTTCCTTCCTCTGCCATTTGGTTGGTTAAAGTGATTGATGAGTCTCCATCTCCCATCAGCTTGCCCAGTGGAGCTGAGCAGGCGCTGAGGGCAGGGGAGGCCTGGAGGGCTCTGGGCTTGCTCTGGAGCGTGGCTGTTGAACTGGAAGGGTCAGGACTTGGCTGCTTTTCAGATCTCACCAGTGTCTGGCGTAGGTTTCCTGCAGACTTGTTCCTTCAGGATCATGCTGTTTCTGTGCAGGTGCCAGCGCACAGCAGGGCAGCACCTGAGCATGTTCTCAGACAGATACTTTAGTTTTGCTGTTGTAATTGTTCTTAATTGCTTATAACCTTGGATCCAGTCAGGGAACAAAATGCCTCTGACCTCGCTGGGCTCTGCAGAGGCACTTGACCAGCAGAGCTGAGGCAGTGTGTGAGCCAACATGGTGTCTGTTCCTTGGGCCATCAGCTCCTTGTTCCCTGCTCCCCTCCCTGCACTCCTGAATGTCCAAGTCCTTGTAGTTGATGTTTATTCTGAAGTTATTTTTGGGAATCTGTTGGGCTTTGTTTTAATGAGCCAAGCTCAAGTTTGAACGAGAGGTGCCACCATGCGGGTGTATTTACACTGTGAGCACTGCTCCCCACCACCCTGCTCATCATACATCAGGCTGTGGGATCAGGGTCTTCCTCCTGTTCCCTGCTCCACCTTATGAAAAAGCTTCCCTGGAAAAGAGGGAACTGGGTGTCTGGGATACAAGTGAGTAACTCCATGTCCTGGAACGCACTCTGCAGTACTGCAGGCTTTTACCTGGCTGTGCATGCAGAGTGTCCTGGGTTCAGCTACAGCAGTCATTTTTTCTCCTTCTTAGTAGCTGGTGCGGTGCTGTGTTTTTGACTTTCAGCCTGGGAACAACGCTGATAACACCGATGTTTTTAGTTGTTGCTAAGTGATGTTTACTCTGACCAAGGACTTTTCTCAGTCTCATGCTCTGCCAGGGAGGAGGGGAAGCCGGGAGGAAGCGGAGACAGGACACCTGACCCAAACTGGCCAAAGGGGTGTTCTATACCACAGCACGTCATGCCCAGTATATATACTGGTGGGAGTTACCTGGAAGGCGCAGATCGCTGCTCGGGTCGGGCTGGGTATCGGTCAGCGGGTGGTGAGCGTTTGTGTCCTCTCCCCTTGTTATTCCTCTTATCATTATTATTGGTAGCAGTAGTGGTTTGTATTATACCTTAGTTACTGGAGTGCTGTTATCTCAACCCGTGGGAGTTACATTCCTCTGATTCTCCTCCCCATCCCTCCAGGACCCCCCCCGCGAGGGGGGGGGGGGGGGGAGAAGAGGGGGGGAGTGAGGGAGCGGCTGCGTGGTTCCAAGTTGCCGGCTGGGCTTAAACCATGACACAGAGGCAGAATGTGGTGGGAGTGCTGGTTGTGCCCTCGCCTGCCCATGCAGAGGTGCAGGAGGAGAGCTCTGGTGAGGTTTAGTTTAGAACTTCTGCTGTGCTCCAGCTCTTGCATCCAGAGATGCCCCCGAATGTCTTTATGGTGTGCATAAACTGTTCCAATTTTTCTCCACTAGGTGTGAAAAGGTCACGTTCCCCACCTTGGTCATGGGTAAATGAATTCATTTGCAATGATAAGCTGCATGTGTTTTAACCTGGGGCTTGGAGGGGCAGAGCTGGTGGTTCTCTAACTGCACGAGGCACCTCTCTGAGCATTACAAACTAATGGGCCATGACCAAAGCCTGAGGCTGTAATTTCTCCCCTTACTTCAGATAAACTCCTCTGGTGCTGTGACCTGTTGCAACCATAAGGTCGAGTGCTGCTTGTTTTCTTGAGTTAATTATTTCTTCAGGTCTGTGCACGTTTCTGATTGAACTGGTCACAGCAGAGTTCCAGGATGAGGTATCTTTTTCCAGGCTGCTGCTGTTGGCTGGCCCTTCCCTCCAGCCCTTCCAAAAGGGAGCAGCTGCCACGCTTTAATCCTGTTTGGTGCTGGGTGTTGTGGTGGTGGTTTTCCTCCTCCCTGTCCGACTTGGCAAAGGTGCTTTCTAGCTGATAACTAATCTGCAGAGTCATGTTGTGACCAGGCTGGCTTCATGCCCCTTCATCCCACTGCAGACAGCAAAATACAGCTGTTAAGCAGCTGAGGGGCACTTGGGAATGTATTGAAGCAACACTCAAATGGGAGTTGAAGCTTCCAGCTGAACGGGGAGGAGGCAGGAGAGGTGGTTTCTCCCTGCTCTGGCCCTGGTGCTGGGATGTGCTTCAGGCTGAGCTAGTGTGGATGTAGAACAGCCTGAGAGGGAGCGGGAGCAGTTCCCATGGGATTCGTACTTGCTAACGAGTGTTGAGATGTTACCTTGTCGCTGCTCTTCCAGAAGGATTCGAGGAGCAGGATGTGCTCCTCGAGCACTGGCCCCAGGGCAGCAGGACCCCAGAGCCAGCAGCTCCCACTTGCCTTTTTCCTCATCATGGAGCCCTCGTCCTTCTGCTCCTTCTTGATTTCACTCACTGCAGCTGCTCTGAGCAGCAAAGATGTCCTGAAGCTTGCTTTGGACAAGGGCCTGTAGGGACAGGACAAGGGGAATGGCTATAACCTGCCAGAGGGGAGATTGAGATGAGCTCTTGGGCTGAAGTTCTTCCCTGTGAGGGCGCTGAGGCTCTGGCACAAGGTGCCCAGAGAAGCTGTGACTGCCCCATCCCTGACAGTGTTCAAGGGGCTTGGAGCAACTTGGTCTAGTGGAAGCTGTCTGTGCCCATGGCAGGGAGTTGGAACTGGATGAGCTTTAAGGTCCCTTCCGACACAAACCAGTCTGGGGTTCTCACCAGTGTAGCTCTGGAGGAAGGATCCAAGCGGGTTCTTGTGGGGAGCTGGTGGTTCAGGCAGAGCTGATGCAGTTCTGCAGCGGCGCTTCTTGGGAGCAGGCAGACGTCAAGGAGGGACCTTCCCTGCACCTTGCAGGGGATGGGGGTTCTCCTCCCACCTTTCATGTTGCAAACCCAGCCATGAAGGCAGCAGTGGGGGTGGATGTGCTGTCCTGGCACAGGGATGTGATTCCTTCTGGTTTTGAGGGCTGCAGTGGTGGTAGCAGCAGCGGCTGAGCCTGGCGGGCACCGTATTGAGCCTCATTACAGGAGCTCTGTTGAAGCCAGAACAGAGGCTTCACCCTCCTCACCTTCACCTGTCCCAGCAGACTGGGGTGGGGGGGAGCCATGGATCCTAGGGGTGTGGAGGCACCCTGAGCCCCCGCTGAAGCCCAGGCAGGGAGAGTGTAGTGCAGAGGCAGCATGGCCGGGTTGTGCCCATCACCTTACTGGGTTCTACTGGTCTGCTCAGGCAGCACGTGCCTGCTGCAGGCAGGGGGGTGAGCGCCCATCCTCACAGCCAGAGGTGCACCTCACCGTCCTGCATCGCTGCACGGCAGTGAGGAGGGGCAGAGGGCTCTGTCTGTCTGTCTGTCTGCTGGTGCTGAGGAAGGGCAAGCGGTGCCCCCTCCTGTGGCTGCTCCTCACTCAATGGCCTGTCTCTTCTTGTTTCTCAGGGCAGTGAATGGCTTTGATCAAGGTCCCCCCGGACTGGGAGCCTCTCGCCCCTCCTCAGCGCCTGGAATGTTGCCCCTGAGCGTATGAGCCCGCAGGAGGTCGTGTTCGGACTTGCAGATGCTTTTCTCAGCCCACCAAGAGAAGAACTCTCCAGCTTGCTCCCCGCTGCTGCCCCCCTGGAACACGACCCGGCCGCCATGTCATGTTAATACAGTTTCTGTTGTCCTGTTGCTGTAGCGGACGTGCTCTGGCTCGGCCCCCGCCCCCGCCCACCGC